GGCCGGGCGGGCGCTGCTCGGGACCTGCTGCTGGCCGCCCCCCCGCGGGACCGGGCGCCCGGGTCAGCGCCCGGAGCAGCGCCCGCCTCGGCGGGGCGACCCCGCCGTGCCGCCGTTGCATAAGCGCTGTGGCGGGCTCGCACCTGCCCCAGCCGGGCGGGATAACCGAGAACCTCCGCGGTCTCTAAGGCATAACAAAACCCGTCCCGGATAAGGCCGCGAGTTCGATTGTAATGCGCCACGTCCTCCCAGCGGGAGTACCTGCCGTGAGCTGGGCACCTGAGCCTTGGCATGGATCGAACATTGTACCAGCAGGCTTTATTTTCATCGTGTTAAGGAGAATTAATAAGATTCCCCTCAACGTCAGTTTGCTGGTCTGTGTCTCGTGTTACGCAACACAAAGGAAACTGGGATCTCTCGGATTGTTAAACTACGACAGGAAATATGTTTAAAACGTTACATAAGTATATGATGATACAGGAATGATTAGTGGGCCTGTTTCTCTGTAACACCACTTCCCAAGGAAGGGTTCCTGTAAAGGGGAACAATTTGGGCTCGGCCTCCCGTCACATCTGAGTGCATGTGCAGGGTCACGGGACAGTGTGTACTTTGAGACGCTGATTCTGACCCTTAGCTTGTAAATTCTCCCGAGGAATGACTTTTTCATTGTTTCCCTTAGTGTGGTGTTCCAAGGAGTCTGAATGAGGCCAGAAAACCTCAAACCTACTTTCCTGTTACAATCTTGAATGTAATTAGAGCTGAGGATGACACAGTGAGCACAGTCTCGTATGTCCACAGTTGGGCTGAGTGTGTGGAGTCCCAGGCTCCTGAGATAAACTCATGGCCAAGTTAGTGACTAGGAAACCCAGAAGTATGGTCAGGATTTTCAACAGCCTCTCTGAGGAGAGAATAAACAGTGCTTTTTAATCAGTCCCAGCACTATGACCTTGCACTAACTGCCCAAGCTTAACTTAAAAACTATTACAGAACAGGAAAAAATGCACTCAGAAATTGTGAATTTAATATCAGGAAGTTAGGATGGATTCAGACTGTTGTTACTGTATGACGTATAGTCTTATTACTAACCCATTTACTTTTGCTGGTGTGTTGAGAGTATCTTCCGGTGACTTAATAGTAAGTTATAAATTAATCCCCAGTCTTTTTGTCACGATTCATTTTTGCCAAGGTAGTTTAAAAAAACCCTTCTGTTATTGAATGTTATTTATTTATATAGTCTTGTGTAATTCTACTTTAGAGTTAGTTGATGGCAAGATAGATAACACAGCCATAAAGAATTTTTTTCCCAATTTGTATTTTTTATTTTAATAAACAAAAAGCTGTGACTGGGAACAGAAGTCAATGTTTTTCTAAAAAGTGTCAGAAATAATTTTTAGCCAGTGAAAGTTAATATACACAACCTTTAAAAATCCATCAATATACATACATAAGGACATTTCAGGAAGAAAATGAAAATGCAAAATTGACTGACTAGTGCAGTATTTTTAAAAAAAGACTTGTACAGCTGGTCTACAACTTGGAGTTTGTTTGGCAGTATCAGAAGTTGCTAGTGAAACGTATGAGAGTCTGTCATCCTGGAACCAGAACTATTACTGACGACTTTAGACTTTCTGTAACCAAGCTGCTCATTTAAAGATTGATGTATAAGAGAAATAATTTCTGTTAAGATGCTGTGATGGGGAAAATTATATTGAAAAACTGGCCCTTGCTATTTAGCAGGCTATTGCCAAAGACTATCAATGGCATTTTGCTTTAGGAAGATTGTGCTGTCTGGGGCTTAATCTAAATATGAAAGGTGTTCTGTCTTCTACAGCTGGGTGTGGGTGCATGTTGAGAGCTGTCTGACTTGAGGGGGATGTTGTCAATAGAGTAGTTTACCTTACATGGGTCTGATTGCAGGCTTGGGGCATTACTGCAGTGCTTTAAGACAGAAAGATTTGAAATACCAATAGCGGGATTGAGTTTATATATGAAAGAGTTTTCCCATGCAATAAAATTCAGATGTAATCAGGCTTAACACTAGCAGAGAACCATCTTTTTCTAGTCAAATATCTAAAATTGGGGGACACTGTTATATTAAATTCAGATAAAGAACTAAGCCAGAATATGAATAACCTGTTAAAAAGTAGACCAAAAAATCAAGATAAATTACAAGAAAGTTGCAAAAAAAGATATGCTCATATGAAAAAGAGGTGTAAAGATAATCAGAATTATTAAATACAAAATCACATGTGGCTGTTTTCTGCTTCCCAGCAGCTATTAAGAACACAAAAGAAGAAAAAAAATACCAAAAAAAAGGAAAATATGTTATTTGTGGGATTTTTTTTCCTTACCAACATACTAGCATTAAGGCATTAATCATTAGAAAAATCCTGGATGCATGAGGGAATGCTGTATCAGAGCTGGACATCTGAGTTCCCCAAGGTGCTGGTTTTCCTGCAGTAGCCCCAGAGACTGAGCTCCATGCCCAACTAGAGAGCTGTTGTTTTCTCTTCCTTGAGCTTGCCCACAAGATGTACCACATCCATATGTGATCTGAATAAATTAACCATGACCAGTTAATTCTTAGAGCCTTGCCTCTGTAAGGCCTTGCCTCCTGCTTCTAGGCAGTTCCTGGTTTACTGCAGGAATGTCCTGGGATGAATTCTCTATCAATTTGCTGAAAATGGTTTGTTGTAATTTGAGCTGTGTAGATACAGAGAAGGTAATACTGCTCTATAAATAATAAGAATACTTCTACCAGATACCAAAATGCAGCAGTTTCAGAACTGAGATGCAGCCTTTGGGGTAAGTAGAAAAATAATATGGAAGAGGAAACAATGTCTTCCAGCTTCTGATGAAACTTGAGTGAAGGTTTTGACAGATGAAACAAGATGCAACTTGGAAAGAATGCTAAAACTTGATACCTACCCTGTATTTCAGTTGTAAGCTCAATGCTGTATTTGTCCACTGTAACTTATATCTCATATCTCATTGGTTTAAGTCTTGGAGCTCAGTCTCAGTGTCAGTTCAGTACAAATTCAGAAGGAAGTGCACTGTCTGAACACAACTTCCATCCAGCACAGTGTCTGCTACACTTGGAAATAGCTTTTCTATTTCTATAGTCCTTCGAAATTTCTGAACTATGACATGTTATTTCTGTCTTTAGTGGTCCCTGCTATGGGTAGCCCTGCATTTCTTTAAAGTATTACATTATTGAAGGTTTGTTGGAATGTGGTCCAGTTCAGTTTTCAGAGCTGTGGCACTCCATTCCTGTTGAGTGGTGGTTTTGCCATGCTGAAGCCTAGAATGCAACTGGACAAGATGGACAGGAATGCGTTCTGCTGGGACAGAATGTGACACCAGGAAAACTCAGGCTAAGTTCACTTTAGTTTGAAAGGCTGGGTCTGAAATGCCTATGAAGAATCAGTAGGGATTCCATTCAACTACCTACCTTAAAATATGTCCTTTACCGGAGGGACAACAAGCAGGATTATCTGTCAATCTCATACCTCAGAAAATAACTAGAACACCAAAAAACCTAACTATTCAGGAGAGATATCTTTTGGAATTTGGGATACCTTCTTCTGTTTTAGTAATCTGTTTAAAATTTCAGTGGAATCTGGAAAGCCATATGTTTTCCTAAGTGCTAAACATTTGCATGGTACTACAAAGTCCAAGATAATGATAAGGTTTTGAATCAGACCTCTTAAACTTCCTAGCATTCAACTTCATTATGAATTTCAGCCTGCTTTTGCAATTTGTTTAAGTTTCAGGAGACATGAATAAGAGTGTAGCTAGCAGTCCTGGAGATACTGCAGTCTTAATTTCTACATCCCATATGGGTCCATTTGCTTAAGAATATTGGGTCATCTTTACGTAGGGCCACAGGCAGGACTGACAGGAAGTTGACCTGTGAGGTTTTGTGAGTCAGCACAGAGTAGCTGAGATAGTTGCATGACTCAAGTTCATCAAATAGAGAAATGAGCCCTTGCAAGTATAAAATCAGCAGTGGTTAGAGAAGAGTCTTGGCTGGCATTGTGTCATCATCCTCCAGAAAGTACCTCCCTGTTCTTCTGGCTACAAGAACAAAAATTTTGCTGGGGGAAAGTAGGCTTTAGCAATAGGGGTGGTCTGCCCAGAAGCTGAGCCAGCCTAACAGCTCATGGATATTGCCATAAGAAAATCCTGCAAAAATATGCTTCTGATACTGCAAGCTAAATTGAGTCAAACTAGACACAAGAAGCAACAGAGCTCCATGGGTGGGAGAGACAAAGAGAGGTAAGACTCCCTTCAGCAGCTGCAAGTAGATTAATTCAGGGAGTCAGACTTGCTGAACAACACGGGAACTTGCTTTGGCTGTGTTTTGTGTAAAGTGTCTTGTCAGTAGCCCAGGATTTCAAGCCTTTAGAGGAACACAAATGTTACCTGAGAGCATGTGAAATATCAAGGCACTGGTTTAGTCTGCTGCACAAGTGTGATGGTATCCGAGTGTAACCATATGAAAGACAAATAAAACTTAGCGAAATTGGATTTTAGGAGAGCATTTTTCTGTTTTTAATGGGGAAGCAATTCTAAGAGTACTGGTCTCTGCTTGAAAGAACTTCATTAAAGAAAGGTCAAAGGGAAACGTGTGGTACCTGGATCCAGCTGTTAGCAGGAGAGACATTGGGTTCCACTGGTCTGCTGGCATCTGGTGGCAGCTATGGATGGGGTAGAGGCAGGCCCAGCAAACTCCTGGGCAGCCACAGCAGGAACATGCCCGCTCCAGGCTCTTCGAATGCTTCACTGGAGGTCTGAAACACAAGGCCTGGTAAGAGGAAGAACCTGTGAATAAGTAGCCTAACAACCCAGTTAGGCACAAATCTAAAGGCTGTGGCTCTTCACCAACACAGATGACTGATCTTCAAGGAATGAGGCCAACAGAAAGTCTGTCCAAGCTCTACATGCACCAGTATGTGACGGCAGACCTCTGGAACATTGCTTTCAACCTACTCACTGTATTTATGAATTTTTTTGAGCAATTGGGACAAAATAAGTCATGTTCCTTTTTAATCAGAAATTCTTCCTTGTTTGTTACAGCTGTAACTTTCCCCAGGTGATACATTTTTGTATATTTTGCAAATTTTCAAGTTCATTACAGACGTCTGGTATTTGACCCATAAACAGGTTCTGTTCTTAATAATGTTAGAGAAAACTTCCTTGTGTTAAAGTATGTTATTATAATAGGGAACAAAATTTAGTGTAATTGCCGAAGGTTTTGGGGTTTTTTTCCCCTTAATTTCATTATCTTGGTTTTAGTTGTGTAAAGAAATAAATAAAGAGTATATTAGTTAAATCTTGTAAAATATGTGTGGTTTTTATTCAGCTGGCAGCACAGTTCATCTAAGTAAGAATATTTTTCATTAACAAAATTTTTTTCTACTGAAGATGAGACAAAGACATCTAATATCCCTCCCATTTGGGAAGAGCCAACAGGAAAAAGCAGATCAGTACATAGCTGAAAATTTGCCATTTAGCAAGTTAATCATTCTTCATTTCACCCCTCTTAAATGAGAAATAGACATCTTTTTTCAAGCTTCCTAGAAGTTACTGTCTTTGGGCCCCATCATTATCCTGTTTGTTTATCCTTAATTGGTGCCCTTCAAGGTCATCATAACAGATAAAATTTAATCATATAAACAATTGGGGGAAAAATTGTAGATCCATTAGGTAAGGTTAGAAAAATTGTTCAGATGAAGAGGCCACATAACTGTGACTTGCAGAATCAGTAATAGAGCATCTAAAGATTTTCCTCCACTATCCAGCACAAAACTGGAATGGAAGTAATTAAATAGATACATAGATAAAATATAAAGTCACCTGAATGGGAAAAAATCTTGTGTATTTCTTGTCTAGTGTAATTTTTTCTCACAATTTGGTGGTTTATTTTTAATAGTACTGATAGAAAAGGAGGCCAGTGAAATGAAAGAGACTAGCAAATTATATGTGTGCACATATGTTTGCTGAAAATTTGAAAACAGAATGGCAGGAGTTACAGCTTCTGAAGGAAGGTACCTCTGGAGGGATGAAGTGGCTTACCTCTATGAAGCTCAGTCTGAATTCCCATTCCCAAAACAAAAGCAAGTAAGACTCCGTGGCTCCCTGTAGGAGAAGGAAGTCTGGGTCTGTAGTCCAAACCACGTCCCATGCTTTCTCTGCAGGTCTTGGTTCCAGCAGCCAGAAGGCCACAGTGTGATCTGAACAGTGTAATGTCCCTGTAAGGTCATTTGGAAACCTCTGTGTAGGTTCTGAATTCTTACATATCTTCAGATGAAGGAGTTTTTTTGTTTCTTAGGGAAAAAAAAATCCCTGATGGGATCTTTGAAAAAGAAGTTGTGGTTAGCAACCTACAGAAAAGGGCTAGACAGGAAACTTTGACATGAGAGCCTTCCCTGGGAGGTGTCTGATGCAAAGAGCAACCAGACCTCAGAGAGGTTCTCACCATTTTCTTTTAATTGGTGCTAGGGGATTACACACAGCCCCTGTCATCTCAGTCTGGGGGCTTAAATGCCCCCAAGGTGCCTGGTCCACTGTCCCTATGAGGAACCCCAGTTTTTGGAGAGTTCAGGCATGTTCACAGGGGCATATAAAACTTCTGTGGTCCTTCCTAGAAGCATCATTTTATGAGAGTAGACAAAAGCATTAGGATGAACAGAACAAATTACATTTGTGCCTAACTTTGAAAAAGGAGGTGGAAAGTTCCCGGGTTTGTGTCACGTTTTCCTGTGTCTACATTTCTGCAAAGTCGGAATCTATAATTTGGACAAGACTTGGTAACAGTCCCCTTACTCTTACACTGTACATTGTACATACATTCCCCTTATCTCTTACCTTCCTGCTTTGCCACGGATAGCACTGGAACTGCATCACAAACACCAAGGAAGAGAAAGCTGAGTGAGATGAAATTCCACTTCTGGTCATAGGAGAAAACTGTTTGGGGGGAGGGGGGAAAGGTACTAATTAAAATTTATCTAAGAAACGCCTCAGTAAAAGAATCATCAATCTGTTTCAGCTTAAGTCTGAAAGAGACATATTTGAGGCTGAAAATGATAATTAACACACTCATGGTGCTCACATAAAACGCCAGTGGATGCTTTTTAACTGCTAATTAACCTCTGGCTTCTATAAACATCCTTAAAAAATGCACATCTTCATCACCTTTATTGCAGTTCTCTAGCAATCACATACTTTACTTCTCAAATGGTGCTGCAGATCATTCCTAGTCCTTTTTACCTGTTTCTATTTCCAAACTACTGCACAACCTTCCCAGTCTAATGACACTTGCAAACATCTGCACATGCTGCAGGTGTCCTTCCTATTCCTAAAAATTAATTAACAAAAGTTAATTATTTTTTAATGTATTGTTTCTCTCTCTTGTGTCAATTAGTATCTGAGTTATTGAAGTGGATCATTGCTATTAGTTTGTTTTCACAAAGTTGGAAAATTCAAACTCTGCTATCATCTTAATTACTTACAAATGAAGGATAAAATTCCTTCTTTTCTGTGGCAGAGGTCCAAAAGACATAATGGAGACAGGATGTTGTGGCAAGCCTCCGTTCCCCATGCATTCCTCCAGTCTCAGCAGGATCACTCTGCACTGGAGGCAAAGCGTGCGTGCCGTGCAGAAGCACGACACTGCAGTTCCAGGACACAGAGCCCACTTCTTCTTTTACTTTTGAATAGTAGTGCCAGATTCTCAGCAACACATACTATGTTTAAGCAAAGTGGTAACTGAATAATCTGTGTAGTGCATAGAAAAAAAAAATTAGTTCATTCTCCTTTTCCTCTCCCAAAGAAGTAGCATTGCAATACTTTTTTTCCCAGCCTAGATTCCTGCAGAAATTAAAATGGGGTTGAGATCATTATCTCTTCAGATGTAAAATAAATTTCTGTGTGTGCGCGCATGTGTGCAGACAGATGTGCATGTACATACTTGCATGTTGTGCAAGAGAGAGGGAACAAGAACAAACAGTAGCCAGTTTTAACCACATCTGATAGAGCAAAAAAAGGCTGAAAAATTCCTGTATGTTTCATAAGAACAAGCTGCTGAGTAAAAGGAGACCCACTGACGTTTGAATTAAGCCCTTATTGAACACCAAGAAAGCTGCAGAGATGAAAGATGTCACGAATCCCTACCCCACAGGAAAAGCTGCAGTCAGGGTTTCCAGCTATGTAGACCTAGGAGAATCCAAACAAGATTTGCCCAAGGGGAACCAAGCCCCATCAGATCTGCAGCTCACAGGACTACTGGTCGGTGCTGGATTTCTAATCCATTGCTATCCAGCTTTGATGATGACATACTCCATCTTTTGCCCTTTGACTTTGGGGGAAAAAAGATATTTTTTAATGCAGATTTCTCAAAACTGAGGAGCTGAAACCCAACATGAAAGGAAGGACCAGATTTTGTTCTTGAAGACCCTGTGGGATACCCTTTCAATAATCTACAAGTGCAGCACAAAGAGAAAACAGCATCTTCCATTTCATGGCAAACTGGAGATAAACTTCATGTCCTGGCAGCCTGGAGTTTGATCTTAAGGTAGCAGCAATCAGTGCTGTTAAAAAGCCTCTCATCCCACTTTCTGATCTGTCACATCACTGATGTCCATGGGTATAACTATTCTTAGAGTTTGGTGAGGAACACACATCTTGGGCCTCTAAATGTTCCTGGTTTTTCTGCTATCCAGGTGTGGTATCATTGCAGGAGACACAGCTGAAGGAAGTTAAGTCGGAGTTCTTGGCACTGCTCACCCTTCTCAGTGCAGTGCAGGGCCCCCCGCCCTGCTGGTCTGCCAGAGACACTCCTGCCAGTGTCACAGTGTCTCTGGCACCTGCCTGGGTGCTGAAGGAAGCACAGTGAGAGGAGTCCAAGGCCAGTGCTGCACCATGGATCAATGGACACAATCTTCCATAAACCTGCTGTACTGCTTCTCTCAGTCACATTTCTCCCTCTTCATAGCTTGGTAGTGTTGGACAAGGTTTGTTTACTTCACCCCAGGGTTGTCTGTTCATCACCTGCCAGTAACACCAGTAACACCTCCAGGGTCAAACTCTGGTGCTCCAACATTCACAATCCCTTCTGGATGACTGCCTGACTTTCTATGTTCCAGTCACAGTAACTCAGCTTTCATCTATCCCTCTCTTCTTGCACTGTGTACCTCAGACCCTCCTTTGCTAAGCACACTTACATCTCTAAAAATACAATCCAGGAACTTTTTAGTCTTCATATTGTGTAACATGGAAACTTGTCTCTCAAGCTCAGCAATCTTGCTTGCAGGTGCTGAAGCAATCAATGCACCTAGGCTGCCTTGGATGCCTGTGGCCATATCTAGCTGTGCTCTGGTTCACTGTCCTTCATATCCCACACAAAGGAAAGATAATGAAAGGATTCAACATCCAAATCCTATTCCCCTCTTCTTCCCAAAAAGATTAACTCCAGTAAAACAGATGTGCCCATTCTTGTCACTGGGTGACAAAGGGATGTGTGTGGCATTGTTATTCTTGCTGCTACATGTTTGTGATCTTATCCTGAGATTTTTTTTATGAACTTTTTTTAAAATCTTTTGTTGCTAAGAGAATAATAATGATCTAGCGAGGTATAAGGAATCTCCAAGGCTTGGAGCAATAAAATCTTCTAAACTCTTAACTACTATAAACTCTTAGATTTTACTCTTGGTCATCTAAACTACCTACATTTTGCTATTTTTTGTAAATACCCATTCTACTCAATATGTTATACCTACCAGTCCCTGTTTTCCCTAATCTAAAATAAACTAGGTGAGTATCCTTCTTGTTGTGCTTTGTCATTCATTACTTAAGGGTATAGGAGAGAGATTAAAACAGCATGTTTGTTAAATAAGTAAATATTTAACAAGTTGACTAGAATTTTAACAGTCTAAGGGAACAGTATTATAAAACCTTAGAAAGCTGGCAGTACTCACTGATTTTTTTATGTGACTCTCAAGTTAGTCGTTGGAGCCATTTTATTTCCTGGATGAATTATACAATTTCTGTAGTAGGACAATTCAGCATAAACATCTACAATAAAACAAGTCACTTAAATCTGCAAGTTATCTTTAGTCCAGAGGGAGAGAGCTACCTTTTTCTTGTTTGCTGCTCCCTAAGAGTCAGGGCCCAGAGCAGTAGGACCCTGCAGAAACTCAAAGCTAAACACACGCTTGATTTCTGTGGTTCTGGGACCCAGATCCTCACAGTTCTGTTGTAATTCACATTTGGAAGTTAGAAAGCATTTCTTTATTCCCATGATTTTCAGGCAATGGAGGAGGCAGGCTGGGAAGCAGGTTTCTAAAAGCCACAGGAAAACAAAACAAAACCAAAACCCCACAACATTTTTAGGGGTTACAAATTATCTGTGAAACTTTGTAAACTGCCCCCAGGCTTTCCATGAGGAAAAGAAATTTATTGATCAAAGTCAGAATAAAGGACCTCAGATTTTGACTTCTATAAACTGTGAGTTAGATATCACTTTTGTCAAACAGAAATCAATAGGAATTAAAGTACATTGAGGGTTTCCCATGGGGGCAGAGAGGCAGACACTCACTCATCAAAATTCAATGGCAACCAGCATGGCAGTGAGCTGATGGTCCTTTCTCCCATTTCCTCACTGGTTTGTCCACATTTGCTGTGTGGACATCACTGTGAGGGTTGCAAGCAGAGGCTTCACAGAGAACAGAACTGGCTTTATCTTAAGTGAAAAAGCCTCACCCTGCCCAGTATCTTGTGTTTAATTCCAGCCTGTACCAGACCATTTAGAATGTATTAACCAAGTCCAAGAACTCCCAACTAGCGAAGGTGCAAAGTATTTTTATTGCTGAAGCTAATCTACAAAGACCGATATTTTTGTGTTTGCACTGTGAGAAACAAAATATCCTTATCTCTCAATAAAAAACATTTGCTCTTTGTTGGATACCAACACTGTTCAACTCCAAAACTGTTTGAAATCCTGGCTTGCTTCTTATCTAACTCAGCAGTGCCAATAATAGAAAGAAATCAGAGAACTCCCTCTGATACTACTTTACCTCCCTACTTGAGGACTCCAACCATTGAGGCTGTTCTCCTCATAAAATCTTTTTAGATTGTGGAAGACATGATCTCCATTTCAGATACATGAGTGAGATGTGCAAGAGCATCAAGAGCCTTGTCAGAGATTACATGTGAAGTCTCACGGCAGAACCAAAAAATAAATTCCCATTTTTTAATCCCAGTCTATCCTCCATTTCATCATCTTTCTATCCTGAAGAATGGATCAACAGTTTTTCTTTTCCTCTCTTCTGACTAAGTATCTAAGTAGCGTTCCATTCTGTTCTTTGGAAAACATTTTTCCTTCCTCTTGCAGATGTTCCACATACCTTCACAATTTGCAAAGTGGTGCTACACAGCACTGGTTGGTGTTCCTGGAGGCAGCAGACCAGCTGCAGACACAGCTCCCAAGCTCCACCAGCCCAGCTTCTGCCTCCAGCATGCACCTGTAGCTATGCAGAAGGAGAACAACTTGAGGCATTAATGGTGACAGAGGCTCTGACTTTAGCAGCATCTCAGTCCTCTCGAGTGCCTCAAAGCCTGAGCCTGAAATCCTACAAAGCCCCCACAAATCCTGCTATTTCCTGGTCCATGCTCTCTGCTTTGGACCATTTTGCACAGGCTTGTGTGTAAGAAGTGTCTCTTTACAACCCCATGGCATTACAGCCAACCTGAGATTTTCAGCATGGATGTTAATAGAGGCCATTCCCAACATTTTGTCCATTCATTCTACTGCCAATATACTGGCTGAAGACAAATTAGATCTGGTTTTCCACCTTTTTATTCAAGGTTGTGCTGTAGGTAATAAAACCCCAAAACTCATTTTTCCAAGCCTACCACCAGTGCAATATTAGTAGCTGTTTCCTTGTGGGACAGTGCTTCTCTCTCAATCATCTCTGGTTTTCAAGCCTTGCCACCTGCCTGTCTAGGTTGTTAATTCTCTGACATTTTTCTTTCAGAGTAGAAAGAGACCATTGAAGAATATCGTGCAGAGTCTCAAGCAGTTCCAGAATTGATTCCTCAAGGCTCAGGCCGTTGAGAGGGCAGCACAACTCAGAGGCAGGGCCCAGCAGAATTTGTGGGATCCTTTGAGCCAGCAGCATGCTGCTTGAAAAGCCTTTCTCCTTCAGACACATTCATGCCTCAAATCACTCACTACCAAATATAGAATGTATTCTTTAAAAGATACTACTTTCCTCACATGAGGTATCTAAAACTGTTGGAAAAAGCACAGCTGAAAAATACAATGATACCCCTGGCCATATATGAGATGTGATTAAATCAAGATGCCCCCACAGGCTGACCTGGTGGCCATACAGACCCTCCCTTCACTCACCCTGGTTGGCATCTGAGATTGGGCCAGGCTCCCAGGGGTGCCCAGGCATTCCCTCTCACGGGCTGTGGAGGGATCATGCAGGCACGCTCGCTCCAGCTGCCTGCCTGCGTCTGGGAAGGGCAATCAGCAGGGTCCTGGTTGAAGAACACAAAGATATTGAAAGTAACCAAAGCAAAGATGTAACGCTCTCTTGTCCAGAGGCTGTTCCACAGTTACTGCTCCTGCTGCCATCTTATCTGGCCATTACAAAAATGGTTTGTCTCAATGTTTGGTCCCTGTCAAATAGAAAACTGCCAGCTCCTCTCCCAGCAGGGCTCTAGTCCCAGGCACCCAGTGCTCCCTTGGCCCCTGGCCGTTCTGCCCTGCTGCTCTCTGGCTGCTCCTGCAATGCCAGCCCTGCAGAGCTGTGGGTAAGGCAGCAGCACCTGCCTTAGGTGCACACTCACTCATGGAGAGGCCCAGGAAGAGCCCAGAGCAACACGTGTGGTTTTACATTTGAAGTGTAATCATGATATTAAAAAAACCCACTTAGCATGGTTTACCTAACATATCCTTTAATGAGGAAGTTAGTTCCTAGGAAAATATAAAGAATGAGTAGGAGAAGGATAAAGCCCCTCCTGCTACTTTTTAACCCCTTTCATGCTGAATATGCTTCCTTTTTCCATCCTATGAGGCAGACTCTCATTTTAGGGGCAGTTTTTGCGCTAAAAAACATTCTAGATTCCTTCACACAAACAAAATGTTTCTGATTCAGTGCTTATGCTGGGTAGTTGTTTTAGTCCCCAAAACAGTGCCCAGCAGGACCAGGGTAGTGATTATCCCCTTGTTCTTTCCACTGGTGAGGCCACATCTCAAAACCTGTGTTCAGTCCTGGGCCCCTCACTACAAGCAAGACCCTGAGGTGCTGGAGTGTGTCCAGAAAAACACAATGAATATGCTGAAGAGTCTAGAGAATAAGTCCTATGAGGAGCAGCTGGGGGTGTTTAGCATGGAAAAAAGGAGGCTCAAGGGGGACCTCTCAACTCCACATCAACTAAGAATGTAGCCAGTTGGGACTCAGCCTCTTCTCCCAAGAAACAAGCAATAGAACAGGAGGAGGAAACAGCCTCAAGTTGTGCCAGGGGAGGTTCAAATTGGATATTAGGAAAAATCTCTTCACTGAGAGGGTTATCAAGCATTGAGATAGGCTGCCCAGAGAGATGGGATGCTTAGGGACATGGTTTAGTGGTGTATTTGGCAGTGCTGGGTCAATGGCTGGACTTGATCTTAAAGAACTTTTTCAACCTAAATAATTCTATGATACTAAAGAAGGTGGAATAACTCTCCCTCACTTTGTTTCTTTTTCATTCTTATCCAGCCTCTGGTCTTTTTCCTCTGTGGCTGATCTCATCTCTGTATTTTTCTCACATATCTTCTAGAACTACTCACTCCATCCATCACCTGTGCAGCTGACACATTTGCTTCCATGCTGGAGTCCCAAAGGAGCTCTGTTATGTAGCACAAACCAACCCAAAGCTGCAGTCACCTACCTTGTGGCCCAGCACTGCTTAGGCTCCTCTCTCTTCAGGTGTGTCCTTGACAGGTGTTTTGGGCTGATCCAGGCCTTGCTGTGGGGGCCCAAACCCCTCAAAGCTGGTGGTCCAAATTGAGCTCATTAATCCTTCCCAACCATGCTGCCCTGAATGCCATTGAGGCACAGCACAATGACCTTCAGGGAATTCCCTCTGCTGCTACAACACAAAATGTGGAAATCAAGATCACAAATACTACTCTAATAAGCTATTCTGGATTTTGATACACCTTTTCTTAAACATTCAGAGATCCCAGCTCATCTCCAACAGCTTTCAGACTTTCAGTCAACATTTGCCTTTGTGTTTCTTTGCCTTGTGCATAAAGACTAACCCTGTATAAAACAGTATTCAGGCCAAAACTGAAGGCTACACAAGCAGATGTCCTCTTCCTTTGTTGGGGAGTGTTTTACCATGGTATGAATTGAGCCATAAGAAAATGACAGCCATTTCCTGGAATTAGCACTCTTAGAAATAGATTAGGATAGTCACAATAAGAAGATGCAATTTATGTACTAGAAAAGCCCATGCCTTGGGTTGTGTGCATCTGATGCAAAGTAGCACTGAAATGCTGCAGCACTGGGTGGTCAGGCTGCTTGGCTGAATGAAGGGAAAAACACAGAGGGGAGGAAGGAAAGCAAACTCTCCCCACTCCTCGGGTCAGAGCACAAAACATCTGCCCACTCCGTTGCTCCACCTGAGCACTTGAACTGGATCACACTTGAACTGCTGGGACATGAGTACAAACACATCCCTTAGAGGCTGGCCAGCTGATCATTTCTCTTGCAACATTTTGCACATTAATTTTGCTATCCTTTTATTTTAAGGCTGATAAAACCAGTCCAAACACTGAGGACACCAGAAGACCCAGCATTCTTCCACAGTGACTTTGCATTCCTAGAAGGCAAATCTAGTTAAGGCAAGTCTTACTCCCCTGCAGGAACTGAAAGAAAACCCCACATACCCCAAGTTTATATCTTTGATCCACCAGCTTTACACAAGGAGCACAGCATGTCTCCCACAGAATTTTGCTGAGGGCTATTTTCCCCTTGTGCCAGTGAGATGTTGGGAGGTACAGTGTGCATCTGTTCCAGCTGCAGGACAACAGCTGAGGGCCAGGAAAATCAGAGGCAGAAAGGGCATCAAAACTATTTTCTGACTCATCACTAAAAAGCAATAGGAAAAAATCTTTAAAATCCTCTCAAGATGTTTTAATATTACACAATAAAAATTATACAGATGTGATACAACTCTCTCCTAAATAAACAGGAACTTTACAAGCAGCTATTAGAATAAGACACAGTTTGTAGTAACACTATTAAAACCTCAAAAACATTTATGGTCTGGGTCTTCCCCTCATACCCCTCAGGGTATGCCAAAATGTAAAAAATAATTCTAGTGACAAGAAGACATACAGGCAAAAATGGTCTTGCAATGCTTTCTAAGCTGTAGAAATAGAAATGCAGAATAGCTGTAGAATAGTAGAAATGCATTGGAATCCTGATTGCTCACAGACATCACCTGAGCAACAAACATCAGGTTTAACTATCAGGTCTTATCATAGAAGAGACATTCCACAGCTCTTGTTGGCCATATGGCAGTGGGCATCTCCCACCTCCTTCTCAAAGAACTTAAAAGAAGCAAAGGAAACAACGTACCACACTTCATTAATGAACTGTTTCTAGCTGCTCTGAGTGGGAAGTTTTGGATCATGAATCTTCCCATCACAGTGGAGCAAAGAAAAGTAGCTGCTCCAAGCTGGACATGATTTAATGCTGAACACGGTCCTGACAGATGGGCAGAAGGTATAATCAATCTATTTCATTGTTAGAATCAGCCCAAGTGTGGGATTCTGGGGGTAGCCTACACAGGTCTTTCCTTTGCAATGCAAGGCAAGGATCCAAGCATCTCCTAAGTGAACTGTGCCTTTTGGTGCTGATTCCTTAGCTGCTATACTGGGTTAACCACAAGAGACTGCAAAAGAAACCATCCATTCTGCTGGAGTCTGGTCAAGCAGGAAGCAACAGGACCAGCAGAGTCACATCCCAGTGGTGTGGCAGGGACAGGCACCTCAGCAGGGCTGTGCCATGGCCAGTGTCTCAGTGACCAACAGTGATCATCCTGTCGTGTCTTGTGGTTTCTTATATCCCACCCCAAAGCTCTTGCTTCACTTTCCTGACCCCATATCTTTTTTGTGTTCCCTTTGTCCCTAGCCATTCTTGATATTCATAGAAGTTTTAATTATCGTCCTTCAGCTTTGCTAATTTTCTTTTCTTATTTTTCTCAGTATTTCCACCTGAAGTTACATGCTTTCTCCTGTCCTTTCCACTTGCACGCTTGGAACAACAGGCACTCTGTGAACTCTATACTTATCCCTGCAGAACCAAGGAGAAGAGAGGCATTGAGTAGAAATGAGAAACAGGGAATGAGGCTGACTTCACTGCAGCTGCAGTGCTGCCTCTGAGCAAGGCTGGTCCTCCTACATGAGCCTAGAGCCACCTACCTGCTTCATACCAACAGCAGTGACTTCAGCAACCCAGTGCCTCATGGCTTTGCTTCCTCCTGCCTGACATTCAGATAGAGGAAGGCACATGGGAAAGAACTCACCCTCTAAAATAACACCTTCAGCAGATCTTTCCTGAGCCCTCTGAAGAGCCAAGTGACTGCAGTGCTTGCAGCAGTTCAGTGCACAAAGCACACAGCCCCCGGCATAGCCCACCATTGTTCCCAGCTCTTTTCCTGAACTCCAGTGAATCCTGGTGACTCCAGCATTACCCCCAGCCCAAGGGCAGCTCCAGCTGGCACTCTCCTGCTGTCACACTGGGCCCTGCCAAGAAAGCTCCTGTCTAAGGTCCCGGTTCCTCCAGCATGCTGGTGTGGAGGAAGTGGATTGCTGCTTTGGCTAGTGGCCTCCAAGTGCCCCTCAGAAACCCAGGGAGATGAATGGGCCTTGTGAACTCTTGCATACACCTTCCTTGATGTGATTGGAGGGTCACAGACTTCAGAGAAAGGCAGACCAGTTCCTCCTGTCTACCCCTCTGTCAAAGTAGTCTTAGAAATTCTTTTAAGTAACAGCAAGCTATTTTTAAGTGGCTGGTGTCTTTCAAATACTGAGTGATATCACATATTCAGAGAGTCACAGCAAGGTTTTTTGTCTCGAAAAAGCTTAATTTCCTGAAGCACATATCAAAATCCTACCCTATGAATCTCTTCAGTGCAACAGAACTCTCCTAGTTAAAATTCTACACAATTCTACACAAGCATATTCCCTGCTCCCTGAGGTACCATTCTCTCTATGCACGCTACAATAACAACTGTGCCTTTACTAAAATTGAACAAAATAACCGGATCTTTATAGAGGATAATTAACAGCCAGCGGTGAATCTTTGTGCTGTTTCAATGGGATATGAATGAGTGATGAAAATTCTCCTTTGCTGGAGAGTTAATGGGATATTGTTACGTTTACATATGCTTTGCCTCCTATATGATAGCATGTTTATGGTGTTCATCGTTTAAAGTCAGAAATACGTACACAGATATTTTGTGATTCTGTTCAGGCAGTTATGCCTCAACATGTTTGCCTCTCTTTCTGTCATTAACAAAATCCCCACTCCATCTGCATCTAATCCAAATTCCTCGTGTCCATTCTGAGCAGGATGAGTAGACCTGAGCCTCTCCAGCTGTTCCTAAAGATACGAAGGTTCATTTCTGGAATTGAATTTCTGCAGTCTTACGTAAACTATCTAGGTTAGTGCCTTCACAGAGCATTAGGAGGTAAATCCAGTGACATTACACAGGTCTGAAATACTTGGAGCCCCCAGATTTTTGTGTGCTTTTCATTCCATGACAGAAAATTCTCATCTTGTTCTTTCCTATTGGATAACTAAGCATGTGGGAAAAGTAGCAACTCTCATTTGAAATACTGCATGAATATCCATTGAGTGTACTCATACATTATATATTTAATACAGGAATACCTCTCAATTCTAGAGAACAATTGTAGAATAATTGAAAGGAGAACATGGGCTTTCTAAAGTAGAAATACTAGTGAGCATTCTTAAAAAGGCAAGAGGAAGAAAATATGTCCATATATGTTTAAAAAATAATTGGCAAATAAAAATTTATAATAATTAGCAAAACAAAGCAGCTCTCACCTGGCTGCACATGCAAGTGAACTCCAGCATCACCAGAACATTTGGAGATGCAACTGCTTGAGTGCAATGGCCAGACAGGGACATGCAGTTTTGTCACTGCTGTTACCTGGGTGTGCATTGCTAAGCACACAAAAAACATGGGAATGCTGCCAGAAGAGGAGCCTTTTTGTCTGACCTTAGGCCTGTGAAATGGCTGGAAAAGCAATTCCACGATCTCTGGCACATCAACAAGCCTGCCAGGCACCCGGGCTGCTGTCCTGGAGTCCTGGCAGGCAAAGAGCCTCAGCAGGGAATTTGCCATTGCAGGTCAGGGTTTGCCCAGACTGGAGGGATGGTCACACTTCACAGCAGCCTCCTTGCAACGGGCCTCACACCATTTCTGTGACTGCTGCTCAGGAGGTGGGGCTTTTCTTCTCCCCTGCTGCCTCAAAATCCCCCTTCAGTCTAGAGAGTTATTCACACCAAAGGTGTGTTTCCAAAGCGGAGATTTAAAAAGAGGATGGGGAGTAAATAAAAACATTGCAGCCATCAGCTGTGGACAGCAGCCCTCTGACATGACCTCCAAAGGTGCCCTCAGAGCCTCTGACCTCCCCTGCCCTTGTATCATATTTTAAAAGCCTTGAATTATATTTTTCTTTGAAAACTAACAGGGGTGAGAGGTTTTATAGGATGGTGTATTTGTTTGTTTTCCTTTTGGCATGTAGGGCCTGTCTGTCCCAGAAGGGATTTTGGCTAACTGGGCAACTAATGAAACAATAATATTGTCTGAGACAGGGGAGCCAAAATCTGGAGAGGCAACTTTTTTTCTTTTTTTTTTTTTTTTTTCCTTTTGTTTTTAATCTGACTGCTTAACATTCCTTCTTCCTGACATCTACAGGAGTTTGGTCACCAATTGACAATTTGGAGAAAAAAAAATTTTTTTTTGTAAAACATTCAAGAGCTCCATTCCTTCTAGCAGAATGTCCACATTACCACACAGCTGCCAGCCCACAGAATGGTGTTTCAGGGAAAACCAGCATTTACCACTGTGCGCATTTAAGGGGTTAAACAGAGCAGAAACGGGGATTTGTCTTTTAAGTATCTGTCCATTGCCTTTTTAACCATAATACAAAAGAAAACAATAAAAAGAAAATAAGAATTGCCCTGTAAATCACCTGTGGACAGGAGACATGATGAGTAGCAAAGATATTTAGTTCATTTGGAGGGATTTCTTCCACGCATCGTAAAATACGTGCTCTGTAGTCCTTAGCAAATGTATCCTGCACCGTGGTATAAATGAATGTGAGCAGTTTGAACTGCTGGCCAGAAGGGCAAACTCGACAAGTGCTGCACTTGAAGTTATTCATTGCACAAACAGTTGAAAACGAGTCTGATTCTGCACAGGTGCAAAAAAGTCACTCTTTGTAGAGGAGGGTTTTTTGACATTAAATTAGTTTCAATAGATGGTGATGGAGATGCACATAATGAATTTGTAGCTATGGGGAAGCAGAGCGTTGCTTCTGACCCAGATAAAATGCGAAGAGCTGTGCTGATGTCCGCGCAGGAGGAGCCCTGGCCGCCCGCCCCCGCGGCTCCCTGCCTGGGCTGACGGCGCTCCAGCACCTTTCCCAGCTCCAGCAGCCTCGCCACAGCACAAACACGGATTACTACACTGAACACGTCAGGCTAAGTCAATAGTTTAATAACCACTATTAAGGCTTTTCCAAATCCATTTAACAACTGTAAATTATTCCAAAATAAAATAGCCTCAGCCAATCAGCTGTATAGTCACTGACCCACAACTATGTGCTTATTTCTCAATTAAGCAAATGTCCACATGCTGGTTGGCTTCAGCTGCTTTTGTGGTTTTGTATGTTGCAAGTTTCAGTATACAAATCCCGGTTCCCTGCCTGAGAGCCTCAGCTGTTTCCGACACCAGGTACCGCAGCTTCGCCCTGGCTGAGCGAGGCTGGGATAAACTCCCCGTGCAGCCGCGCCCGCTCGCATCCCGCCCAAAGCCGTGCGCCCACCCGAACCCCCCGTGCGTACCTGTGCCAGGAGAAGCGCCGCCCTCAGAGCCGTCCTGAGCTGGCCGGGCCGAGCGGGGCAGCTGCCCTCGCCTCTGGGACCGCATCTCGGCTGCAGCCAGGCTCCAGAGCCGGCGGTGTCCCGGCGCTCGGCAGGCACAGGGAGCCAGCCCGGCAGCGGCGGGGATGGGGCGGGAGCGGCGCGGAACGAGCCCGCGGCTCCGCTCCCGCGCTCGGAGCCAGAGGGGCTCCGGTAGCCAATCAGGCCGCCGGGGGGAGCGGGGAGAGCCGGCGGGCACAGCAGGAATAATTGGAGGGAGCTCCTAATTAATTTGATAATAACCCTATCCTGTGTTAACACACTCCACATGCAAAAACGGCTAAAAAGTGCCAATTAGCAGTGAAAGTGAAAGAAAGCACGTAAGGGGGAGTAACAGAACCTCGCAGCCAAGACCTGACAGCACACAGGTGTGCCAGGCCCTCAGCAGCACTGTCCCTCCTCCAGGACAGGGGTGACATGCCTTCGTAGCCTTCTGTCTGCTACAGATGTGTCTCCCATGGAAAGAGTTAGGTTCCTTCTCCACACTTGCATCCAACAACCTGCTGTAGATGGGCTCATGATACATTTAGGTGAGCTGTAAATTCTTTTCCTGGGTGGTTTTGAAGGAGCTAAAATCCTCATCCTTCTCAAACAGAGGGTAGTCTGTGGGATCTGAGTGTCTGCAAGCCCTGGGGAGAGGTAGAGGCAGTGTACAGGGCCCTCAGCCTCCTGGAAAGCAGGGCTGTAGCTGCATGGCCAAACGGGGCATCAACAGGCATCCTAACCCTTCCACAGCCATCAGCTTTTTCATTTCTCCTGCCACTCGTCCAGTCTGTCTATTGGGAGGTTTGGGGCGAGGAGGGCAGAGCAGCCTCAGGAGCTCCCTGCCCAGCACTGATGGAGCCAGCAGAGCCGGCTGGGGATGGCACCTGCAGCCCTCTGGAGAGCCAGGACATGCACGGGCCTCAAAACTGCCCCTTGCCCCCTGCAGCACTCATCCCAGGCTGCTGCTAGCCCACAAATCAGATTTAGGATTTAATTTCTAAATACACATGTTGGCTTGCCACCAGCATTTAAGATAGCCTTTTTTTTCCTTCTCCTATTACTCTGTGTCAAGCTGTTTTGTATTTTTACTCCTGAATTTTCTCAAAACTATAAGTGTCCTGTATTACAGTCTAATCCCAGGCCAAAACTGGTAATTTCAATATATTTTCCAGAAAATAGACAACTCATGTCATTACATGTTGTTAAAGTTATACCAGGTATCTTGTACTCACCACTTACAAGGCTTCCATAAAGCATGTGGCTATAATGAGTTCCAGCTTTCTTTCCAGGCAAATATGAAAGAGGGTTTTTTAAAATTAATATTTGTGAACCAAAGTCCATGGTCTGTGGATGCTGTTGTGACTGCCAGAACACACAGATGGCTGATGTTTTACTTATTTCCTAATCCTGCAAAGCAGAGGACAGGTACAGACATTTGTGTATACCCATCTCTGGGCAGGTCACAGAGCTGACAAGGAGAGGAAAGCAGGGAAGAGAGAGGGAGTTGCTGCTGGCTCTTGTTGGGACTGGAGAAGAAAAGGGGACTGGAGTCCAGCAGCCCATCTTACAGCAGCTCCCATGCACAGAGCATGAGCTGACTCCCAGCCACTCGATACCCAGCACGTGCTCTCAGGCACGGCTGGGATGAAGCAGGTGCCTCCAGCACAGCAGTGTCCCACATCTCAGGTTCACCAGCCCTTGGGAAGGTCAGCTGGGGGTAAATGGATGAGAGGAGAATTGCAGGAGAGTCTCACCTGGGTGGAGGTGAGCTACACTCCAGCCTCAGAGGGACTTCCACCCTTGAGGAGCCTCCTAGGCTGAGGAAGCAGAGGGACTCAAAGTTGCAGCATGCACAGGGGTGAAAAGTGGGGTTTGCACCTGTGCAGGAAAGCCAAGCACCACTCCCCTCTGCACGTGGCACTGACCTTAATGCTGGGGCCAAATCTTGGGTTTTAAACAAAGCTATAAAAGGCAAACTCTCTCCAAACATTCATAAGCCTCTTTAGAAAGGTTCAATTTAAGACAAACCACAAACTAGGCACCTTGCCATGGGACTGCACTGCTTTTAGCTGACCCCATACCTAATGGCAACCTGAGCAGGCTGTCAAATGCTGTAATGCAGCCTTCTGGCCCCCAGGGCAACTTCCTCCTGCGAATGCCAGAGCCAAATCTCTGCAACAGCAAGCTTTAAATCTGGAAACACCAACTGCCCTCCCATCTCATTAGAGAATCCAAGTATTCACTGGGACATTGTGAACAGAAAATTGAATGCCCAAGTTAGGGATAAGGGAGGCTACATCTCTCACTGCTGTGAGAGCACTCACGTTTGGAAAGTGTCATTAAATAATAGTGGCAGCACTTGGTCACAGCACAGTCTGCCTTCTGCCTTTTAATTAAATGATACCAAGAGGCATACTTCATACCATGTGCAACAGAGAAGGCATTGGCTGTGAAAACCATCCCTGCCACTGCTGTCAGCTCCTGTACCAGCACACTGCACAGGAGGAGGCATCTACTCCTCTTTCCCTGGGAATTTATTAATTTTAGACTGCATTGCAGTAGAGCAGATTCACCTCCCCCAGTAGAAAAAGAAATAAAACACCCTCCTTCCTTAGAGCAAAGAGACCAAAACTGAAGCATAAGACAAAGTTAAAAAACCCCAACAAACATAACTTTGATGTATTTGATGCAGGAAATGACATGGTTTCTCTAGCTACATTGCTATGAAAACTTAAGTGAAAGATTGCTTCCAGCAGAACACACTGATTAAATCTGAAGAGATTTAAGAAAAATTAAGATTCCAAGGCCAAATTAATTTTCTGATCAAGACATCAAGATGGGTAAGGAATTGGGAGTGGCAGCTGAGTTGCAAGTCTTTCTTCCTTGATTGTGCTTCTGTATATTAAAGAAGCTTTAAAACCAAGGTACAGGAGAATAAAAGGCTGACCTTTGATGTATGTGATATGCCATAAACTAGAACCAGTCCTCCAGATTTCTGTTTGTCAGCTTTGCATTTATGAAACAGAAGCTGCCTTTGAATGCAGTTTAACATGATTACAGGTCTTTCTATGACTGAAGTTCACTCTTAAAGAGAGTAGCCTACATATATTGCCTGTTTTCCTTCATGGAGTGTAAAGAAAAAAGGTCTGAAAGGTTTGAGAGCCATTGCTTCCTACATGCCTCTTTTGCCTGGAATCTTAAACTCTTGCAAAATATTGTTCTTTTTTGCTAGAGAAATTTGTAGATTATTTTGTCCTCTCTGTGAGGTTAGAGGGGCTTCCTTGCTCCTATGGAAAAGTGGGAGAAAGACAGTTCCTCACAGAGAGAACTTTGCTTATAGATGTACTAGTAACAACCATAACAATGAAAACAGTCCAAATAAGGCACATTTCTGTGTGCTGAGCAAGGATATTGTGCACTTGGCAGAAGTGAGCCCATATCCTCCAGCCAGCCACAGAGCTTTGCAGAACAGATGTGCTGCTCCAGTGTTTAAAAACTTACAGCTGAAAAGTAAAACCCTTTCCAAGATCTCCTTCACACATTAATAATAATGTTACTTTCAAGGAATAGTGACTAGAAGTAATTTCTGCAGAACCATGTTCCTAACAAAATCTAAACCTACAGCTGAAAAATTTGACTACAAAGAGGGAAACCAGCCAAACTCACCGGTGTGAAGAGGAGTTTGAGAGACTTCTCCATGCCCAAACCAGCCACATGCAAATGCTAGAACAAGGATTCACCTAAAAAACTGGGGGGAAAGGGAAGTCACCCAGGAGTAAAGTGAACTCTAACTGAGATTCCAATGCACTGCAGGTAGTGAAAAGTGTCTAACCCCCTGAAGTTTGCAATCCTCATCTAAAGTACTGTATACTCCATAAGTAAAACCTCCTGCCCCAGAAATCCAAGGGAGGGTGAAAGAACTCACTTGAAGGTTTGCCTCTTTGAAAAAGACCTAAGGAAAGGAAAAAAGGTCCATTTCAGGGCTCACAGAATAAGAGTATTTAGATACTCCTCCTTAAGAAAGGACCCAGACGCAAGCAAGGTTTGTGCCATAGTTTAAATCCAGGTTCCCAGGAAAACTTGCTTACAGAAAGATGTGAAGATCAGAGGATCATTACTGCAGAGGATTCAGAGAAATTATCTCCTAATACACAGTTGAAGACAGAACTAGTCTTGGTCTCTCTTTGGCTTGAACCTCTACTGAAATTTAATGCTGACAAATCAAAAAGGGATATATCCAGAATTTGTAACCCTGATAAAAATGGGAAATCTGTATCATCTTAATCAAAGGATATGCCACCCTGAGCTGGATCTGTGTCTTGTCCCTTGGCCTCATATGACTCCTGTGTGCTAGAGGTTAAGGGTTTGTTAAAGAATATCGGTTTTGATTAAGTGTCACATATGGCGTAAAACATCCTCTTTATCACTGGCAGTGAAGGTTGGGGGCCAGACAGTGCCTTTTAGAGAGCTTCTAATATAAATTAGGTGTCTTAGGTAATGGGTGGTTTTCAGACAGGATTGATCTTTCTATGGTCCAGTGAAA